CGGCCGCCGGACCCTGCCGGCCCCCTGGGCCAGACGGCCGAGGTGGCGCTGGAGCTGGCTGCGGACAGGACCCCGACCTCGGAGCAGATGGACGAGGTAGGACGCCGCTGGCCGCTGTCTTGGGAGGCCTCAGCAAGCACAGCTGCGGAGCTGCGGGGCTGGCCTGAGGGCGTGGTGGGAGCCCCCTGTGGGGACGGGGTGACGCTTCCAGGCTGTGCACTCGGGATTGGGGATGATGGAAGCTGGTCCCACAGGTCTGCAGAGGGGCTGGGGGTGGGGGGCTATGGCTCTGCACCCAGCCTGGGCCGCTGTCCGGCCCAGCTCCTAGGGCGCTGACCTTGGGGCCCCCCCAGCAGACACCGCCAGGGTTGATTGACCCTCCACCCCCCCCCCCAGCCAGAGAGCCTCCCCCATTGGGGTCTCACTGCCAAACGCGTGGCCGCAGGCTTGGTAGGTGATGCCAGGTCCGCCCGGGGTCAGCAGCATGGCTCTGCCGTCCACCCTGCCGGCCTGGACCTCCTAAGACGGCCGGAGCCCAGGCCCGCGGGCAGCCGGGGCCCCCTCCCAGCAGTGCACTGGGCGGGCCGGCCTGGAGCAGCAGAGAGGAGCTTGGTTGCCACCGTTGGGGGGCTCTGGGGGCCCCCCGGAGCGCTGGGGAAGTGGTTTCCAGGACCCTGGAATCCAGACAGGAGCTGACAGGTGTGCAGAGGTGGGGCGCCGCTGGCACCCCCCCCCCACCCCCACGGGCTTGGCGCGCTGCTGCTGACGTCAGAGCTGGGGGCCCTGGGCGGGGAGGCCCCGCGGCTGCCTGGGCGGGGGCTGGGCTGGGCACGCCAGGCCGCGGGCGCCCCCTGCTGGCGGCTGCGGGCCCAGCAGCGCCGGGCCTGGATGGGGTGTGCTGAAGCTGGTGGGGGCCCCCCCCCCAGCTCTGCCACCTGCAGCCATGTGGCCTGGGAAGGCCCTTTCTCACGGGCCTGTTTGCTGCTGTGGGAGAGGGGCAGTGAGGACTGCTGGGGCTGGTCTGGTTAGGCTCCGGCCCCTCGCAGGACCTTCTGCTGCCCCTACCCCCGGCTGAGAGCTCTGTCCCCTCGCTGACCCCAGGGAAGGCCTTCCCCTCCTACCCCTTCCCTGGCCTTGCCTCAACTGGGCACAGACCTCAATGCCCCCCAGTTCTAGACCTGTGTCCCCAAAGCTCTGTGGCATGGGGTGCCTGCCACACTTTAGGGCTGGGGTCATCTTTGACCGCTCCCCCTTCGGCTGGGGCGTTCTGGCCACAGCCTCTCACCAGGCGGGCCCCTGGGCTGGAGGACCAGCCCTGGCCGGCACTTGCCTTGCCTCGGGCAGGGGCCACAGCTGTGTCCTCCAGTGCCAGGGTTCTGGCAGACCCACAGGGCCAGGTGAGGTGGGGGCCGCGCTGGCCGGCAGAGGGTGGGCGTGGACTGGCGGAAGAGTGGCAGGCAGCCACCCCACCTGTCACCCACCAGGTGGTCCTCGGCACCCACTTGCCTCATCAGTAAGGTGCCCACAGACTGATGTAGGTGGCCGGGGACCCCTGCTGGCCAAAGTGGTGCTGCGCCCTGCAGGGGGCGAGCTGGCCCATCCCCCTCCCCTGGCCGCCCCTACTGGGGCTCCCTGCCCTTCCTCCTGTCTCTGCCTCTGTCTCCACCTCTGTCTCCACTTCTGTCTCTGCCTCTGTCTCCATCTCCCTCCGTCTCAGTCTCCGTCTCTGTGAGCCCGGTGACCGCTGTGCCCTGCAGAGGCAGTGTCTGCCCACACAGGTGCCGACCACGGCTGCCTAACGGTTACTGGGCCCGCTGGTAGCCCCGCGGGCAGCAGTGGACCTGCAGCCGGCAGCCTGGTAGGGCTGTGGCCCCGACTCAGCCCGCCCCTCCCCTGCAGGGCCAGCAGTCCTCCGGTGAGGACATGGAGATCTCCGACGATGAGATGCCCTCGGCCCCCATCACCAGCGCCGACTGCCCCAAGCCCATGGTGGTGGCCTCGGGGGCCGCAGCCGTGGCCGCCCCCTCCGTGCTGGCCCCAGCCCTGCCCCTGCCCCCGCCCCCGCTGCCAGGGCCGCCCGGGGTCCCGCCACCCCCCATCCTGCCGCCGCTGCCCCCGTTCCCGCCTGGGCTGTTCCCGGTGATGCAGGTGGACATGAGCCATGTGCTCGGCGGCCAGTGGGGCGGCGTGCCCATGTCCTTCCAGATGCAGACACAGATGCTGAGCCGGCTGATGACCGGCCAGGGGGGCTGCCCCTACCCGCCCTTCGTGGCCGCGGCCGCTGCTGCTGCTGCCGGACTGCACTTTGCCAGCCTGCCCCCGCACCGGGGCCCCTTCTCCCCAAGCAACGCTGGCCCCGGCCGCGGGCAGCCCTGGCCGCCCCTGCCCAGGTTCGACCCGTCGGTGCCGCCACCAGGCTACGTGCCGCGCCAGGAGGATCCGCACAAGGCCACCGTGGACGGCGTCCTGCTGGTGGTCCTCAAAGAGCTCAAGGCCATCATGAAGCGCGACCTGAACCGCAAGATGGTGGAGGTGGTGGCCTTCCGCGCCTTCGATGAGTGGTGGGACAAGAAAGAGCGGCTGGCCAAGGTGGGTGGGGACCGGGCGCCAGGAGGGGCCGCGCTGGCGGGCGGGGAGGCTGGTCGCAGCCCTGCCTGGGCCGCTGCTCCACGGTGACGCCCCCCCAGGCCTCGCTGACCCCGGTGAAGTCCGGGGAGCACAAGGACGAGGACCGGCCAAAGCCGAAGGACCGCATCGCCTCGTGCCTGCTGGAGTCCTGGGGCAAGAGCGAGGGCCTGGGCTACGAGGGCCTGGGCCTGGGCATCGGGCTGCGCGGCGCCATCCGCCTGCCCTCCTTCAAGGTCAAGAGGAAGGAGCCCCCCGACGCGGCCGCGGCTGGCGACCAGAAGCGCCTGCGGCCGTCTGCCTCCGTGGACGAGGAGGACGAAGGTCGGTGTCCCCGTGCGCGCGGGCGCCCCGCCCGCGTACTGTGTGGCCCTGACGCCTATCTCCACAGAGGCCGAGCGGGACCGCGACGCGCCCGACGCGCCCTGCGAGCTCACCAAGC